AATACCCAGAACATCTGTACCCAGAACCTTGGCAACGCGGACAAGCTGGTCATAGTTGTCCTGTCCATGGAAGAAGGGCTCCTTTCGGAAGAGCACGCTTGCTAACATACAGCCCAAACTCCACATATCCAAGCGATTGTCATACATCTGATAGCCCACAAAGAGCTCAGGCCCCTTTGAAGTACCTCCAGGCCACCCGGACATCGCATTCCTGCCCAGGATGGTAGAACTCAGCCAGACCCCAATCTATCAGTCGCAACCTTTTCTGCTGGTGATCTAGGATGACATTGTGAAGCTTCACATCCCTGTGCATGATCCCCTTGCTGTGGCTGTAATCCAGAGCTTTAAGTAGTTCATACATATAAAACCGGATATCAAAGTCTGTCAGGATCTGGTAGAGTTGCTTAAAATCTGTGTTATTGATATATTCAAATCCCAAAGCTGGGGTCTTTGACCCAGGGTCCTTTACAGTGTCAAACAGCTTACTGATATTTGTTCCACCACGAAGGTTCTCCAGAATCTTAACCTCTCATTTTATCTTCTTTTTCTTCACTGGCTTGAGGATTCTCACAACCATTCTCTCATTGTTGGTGATGTTAATGGCCTCAAATGGCCAAAATACAGTGGTCCCTTCAGTAAATCCATGCAGTCAGTGGTCCAGTGCCATTGCAACATACTGCTCTCCTAGGGCAGACTCAGAATGCAAACAATTCTGAGCTATGCCCACATTTTAAAGACCAAGAACTGCTAAATGAGCAGGTTGTTGTATTCACAGGGAGCAATTGCCTGGCCAATATTTACTCCCTAAGCCATCTAACTGGGTCCAGGAGGGGTTGGAGTGGGTTTCACTTTTGAGCAATGGAGACAGATTTATTGTTGCAGATGGATCAGGAAATGGTATAGAGCCCTTTTAGTGCTGCCAATAAATGCCCAAAGGGCACACAACTCCTAGTCTGTGCCAGACTATGAAGTCACATGGCTGAATAGCTCAATTGAGAGTCACAAGGAGGGTGGAGGGAGGGTGGGTTGGAAAGGGGGAACCGATTATAAGGCTCTACATTTAACCTCCTCCCTGGGAGTTGAACAACAGAAAAGTGGGTGAAGGGAGACGTCGGACAGGTCAAGATATGACAAAATAATAATTTATAAATTATCAAGAGTTCATGAGGGAGAGGGGAGTGGGGAGTGAGGGGAAAATGAGGATCTGATGCCAGGAGCTTAGGTGGAGAGCAAATGTTTTGAGAATGATGAGGGCAATGAATGTACAAATGTGCTTTACAC